TGTGAATTCGATACTTTGAAAGACTCGCTTATTAAAGGCATGATCATTTGTGGTATCTCTGACAATGCCCTTCGTGAGAGAATGCTTCGTGAGCCTAACATCAATCTACAAAAAGCAGTCGAGCTTGGTCAAGCCTCCGAGCAAACCAAACTACATGCTCAGCAACTTACTGAAGACATGGAAAAGAAAATCCACAAAGTACACAGGCAAAAGCGAGAGAAGGAAAGGCGAGACAAAAACCGAGATAGGTTTAAATCTCATTCTCCAGAAAGAGATAATTTAATAAAGAACTGCAAATTTTGTGCAGGTCGACACCAACGTGGAAAATGCCCGGCGTATGGTCAAAAGTGCAACAAGTGCCAACGTAGAAATCACTTTGCCAGGTGCTGTAAACAAACAGTGCATCAAGTCGATGACTCTCAAGATCGTGCCTCCTTTGAATCCTCTTCAGAAAGTGATTTTGTTATCGAAAGCCTCGTTGCAACTGAGTCTGAAGCAGCCTCTGAGGTTCAACAAGCACTTAAAATTGATCCTCTCAATAGCGACACCTCTGCGGGACACTGGTCTGTCACTCTTAATGCAGGCAGCCAAGACATTCCCTTCAAAATCGACACAGGGGCCCAAGTGAACGTGTTACCCAAGAAACTCTACAACAAGTTAAACCCTCGCCCACGAATCAAACAAACATCAACCAAGTTGTCCGCCTACAATGGGTCCTCCATCCCTGTACATGGAAAATGTATTGTCCCTATTCAGTATAAAGGACAAAAACACCACCTTCTCTTTATCGTCGTAGCTTCACAGACCACACCCATCCTAGGTTTGGCCACTTCAGAGCGACTCAATCTAATCAAGCGGGTCTACAAAATAACTGATACTAACATTGAGGAAGCTTATAGCTCCAATATATCTGAAGAGTACGCTGACTGTTTTGGAGAGATTGGCACACTCAAGTCCACCTATCACATGACCTTGAAAGATGATGTCCGTCCAGTAGTGGTACCTCCTCGAAAAGTACCGTTTGCTCTTAAAGATCGACTGAAGAAGGAATTAGACCGCATGGAGAGCATGGGTATAATTGAAAAAGTCGAAAAATCCACAGACTGGGTCAACGCCTTAGTTCTTGTCGAAAAACCCAACGGAAAGCTTCGCGTTTGCCTAGACCCGCGTCCATTAAACCAAGCAATCAAACGCCAACACTACCGTCTGCCTACTACAGAAGAGATAATCTCTCAAATGAGTGGTGCTCGATTCTTTAGCAAACTCGACGCAAGCAACGGGTACTGGCAGATTGCAGTCGACGACTTCACATCAGATCTTCTCACGTTTGGCACAGCGTTTGGCCGATACAAATTTAAGCGTATGCCCTATGGAATTCACTCGGCTAGTGAGATATTCCAACTCGAAATATCCAAGATCATCGCTGGCTGCGATGGTGCTGCCAACTCGCAAGACGATATAATCGTGTGGGGTGAAACAAAAGAAATTCATGATCAACGGCTGAAGAAGGTCCTAGACAAAATTCGAGATAGCGGATTGAAGCTAAACCATGCAAAGTGTATTTTTGGTGCAACGGAGCTCACCTTTCTGGGTCACATCATGTCCGCAGATGGAGTGAAGCCAGACCCAAGAAAGATTGAAGCAATTACCAAAATGCCCGTTCCAACAAGCCCTGCCGAACTTCAGCGTTTTCTTGGGATGGTGAACTATCTTGGTAAATTCATCCCAAACCTATCAGACGAAACTGCGCCATTACGAGCCCTCTTGAAGAAAGGAACCGAGTTCTTAATGCAGAAACCCCAAATTGATGCCTTTGAAAAGCTCAAGCGTCGGATTTCATCTGTTCCTGTCCTACAGTTCTACGACCCAAATCTCCCAACTCGTATTCGGACAGACTCTAGCTCTATTGGGTTAGGTGCAATGCTTGAGCAACGCATAGATGACTCCTGGCATCCCATTGCATTTGCCTCCAGAACACTCGAAAAATCAGAACAAAATTATGCTCAGATAGAACGTGAAACTCTTTCAGTCGTATTCGGATGTGAACGGTTCCACGAATACCTCTATGGTCGAGAATTTATCGTACACAATGATCACCAGCCCCTAAAAACCATTTTCTCCAAAAGCATTGTTCAGTGTCCTCCTCGCATCCAACGGTTCTTTCTGCGCCTACAAAAGTATGACTTTTCATTCGAATATGCACCCGGAAAGACTATGAAGGTGGCAGATGCCCTCAGCAGAGCCTCATTACCTGGTCAACCGGAAATTACCCCTGAAGATATTGCTCATCATGCTCACTCAATCATCAACCAGCTACCAATCAGCCAGTCAAAACTCTCTCAGCTTCAGCGCGAAACAGCAAACGACCTAGTTCTACAAAAGCTCAAACAATACACCGTCAATGGTTGGCCATCCGATGATAACATTGATAGTTCCGTGAAACCTTTCTACAGCCAGCGTCACGAAATTGTGTACAATCATGACCTTCTTCTCAAAGGGCAACAAATCGTTGTGCCAAAATCCATGCGTCCTGAAATCCGAACCCTTCTTCACCAAGGACACCAAGGCATTGAAAAGTGCAAGAGTCGAGCCCGGCAAGCAGTTTATTGGCCTGGAATCAACCATGAGCTAACTGTTCTTGTCTCTCAGTGTGCAACGTGCACAAATCATCGCAACCGACAGCAAAAGGAAACACTGATACCACACGACGTGCCTGACCAACCGTGGGTCAAAGTTGGTACAGATCTCTTCAAGCTCCATGGTCGAGACTACCTAATAGTCGTTGATTATCACTCCAAATTCTTTGAAGTAGCCCACATTGCAAAACCCGTCGAGGCACCTGCCGTAGTTCGTGAAATGAAGAAAATATTTAGTCGTCATGGTATCCCACAAACAGTGTTCAGTGACAATGGCCCACAGTACACTGCCGCATCCTTTAAACGATTTTCACGAGAGTGGGACTTCCAGCACGACACGTCTAGTCCTCACTTCCCTCAATCAAATGGCCTCGTTGAGAGAACCATCCAAACGGTCAAGAAGTCACTGAAGAAAGCAGAAGAATCCCACAGCGATGTGTATCTTTCCATGCTCGTGCTCAATACAACCCCACACAATGATGGCCACTCTCCAGCCTACAAAATGTATCAAAGAAACCCTCGGACCACCCTTCCTTCTGGATCAACCCAGCCACCGTGCCCGGTGTCGCCAAGGCACAAGGTCAAGCAATCTTATGATCAGCATGCCCGCAATCTACCAGCTCTACTACCTGGCACTACAGTTCGCGTACGAACCGATAAAGACACCGATTGGTCAAAAAAGGGTAAAGTGGTAGAGAAGTGTAGTGAACCTCGATCATATCGTATCCTGAATCAGCAGGGAAACGTTGTTCGTCGAAACAGACGACATCTGCTTCCAACTAAGGAGACATTTAAAGTTGAGAACAACGACGATTATGACGACCTGAAATTGTCAAGTAGACCATCCACCTCCAACCAATCTAATGTGAAAGTTAGCAGAAACAATCCGATAGTGACATCTCGGTCAGGTCGACAAATAAAGAAACCCTCAAGATATGCAGATTAGAAGACACCTTCATAAATTAAGTGACCGTTACATTATATACATTGCAAGTTACTTATTCATGTTATGTTCATGTTGAAAAGGGAGATGTTGCATGTTGATCTCCTACCACGGGACCTCCTTACGGGAGATGGAAATTAGGGGGAACGTTGTTGTTTACGTGTAATGGGACACGAACATATAGATATATAGATATAGTGATATACACAAAGAAATGGACTAATATAACATAAATAAGAACTTTACACCTACCTCCTGCAAATGCACGTATTTGGCCAAGTTCTCCACTTTACTCCGCTGTTTATCGGCGATCTCGTCGACATCCTACAAAAAATGTAATCATCTCAGACATAATGGTATCAAGAACATTTTAAACAAGTTTCAACTTGGTTTCAAGTAGATCATACCTGTTTACCATCGACAAGGTAAATCCACAAATTTGTCCAAATTCGGCGCCATTTTGTCATCTCATGTCGCTTTTAAGAGCGTGTGTCTCTAAAAACCGCCCACTGACTTGGGGCTCGAAAAATAAATTTCTTCGAAACTTTTACCGTGAACTACATTTACTTTAACAACAAACAAATGCTGTTTGGAATTTTCAAAATATATTTAGTTTCAAAGTTTTAGCGATTTTTTGGTCTCGCACCGTCGCGGGAGAAATTCGCCGGCTAATTAAACGAAAAAATGGGTTGAATTTAAATAAACATAATTTCAAAAGTTTTTGTTCAAAGTTTCTGATATTCACACCCAGCAGCGGAAGACTATTGTAATTTTATCTAAACTAACTTAGGTTTTCGATTACAGAGCATTTGTGACAATATTTAGCGACAAAGAGCGCCATGTCAAAATACGGCTTTCAAATCCTACTATTTTCTACGCTGAATTTCTTAAAAGTGGGACCTAATTACATACAGTGACTAGTATGGTTGGAAAAAGGACACTTTTAAGTACAAAAAACCGTAATAAAACTCGTCTGCAAACGCGATTTGAACAATTGAGAGCGTTTGAAATTTGATACTATTTATGGCCTTTTGTTTACATTAGAATGTTGCTGAGGTCAGACGTCTGAGTTCATGTCACTGCTAAAAATGCGCTGTAGTTCTGCCAAACAACCTTTTCCTCAAATAAGTTTATAGCACTATTGTACTAATCTATGTGTCTTTGTTTATGTCCACCGTAAGTGGTTCCAAGGGATTTAAAATAATAGGCATGTTAAAATGACTTGACCACATTAATATGCTACTCGGGGAAAAGCCCGCATGCAGCGCGAATTCTATATATATATATGTGGCACATGCAAGCACATGCTATATTTAGAGTTTGCGTTGCAGCATACTAAACTTTGCTTAGTTCGAAAAGTCTATAAATTATAAAGTTTAGTTCTGGAACCTTTCTGCGAAGTTGATCTTTGAATTATATTGCTGCAAAATTGTATCGGTTCAACTGTGTGCGGAGGGTGTCGGGGTGAATCGGGTATTAGACGCTTAGAAGATTGTGATGAGAACCTTCAAAACCATCTTTCAAGTTGCCGTTTGTCGAGATCTGGTTTTAGCGAGCGCGAGCTGATTTTGAGAAGAGCGGGATTTTTACATGAAATATCAAGCGAAGAAATACGCTCTATGATAGTATGCCCAAACCACCAGTACAACTTGGGCCGATACTGGAGACCTCGTCTAACATGCCAACATCCTTCTCACACTGCGCCTGAACGTCGCTGCAAAGGAAAAGAGGTCATTAACCTGGAAGTATCACGGGATGTATTCCAAATTTATGGAGTACTTGCGCAAGTTGGTTCTCGTAAGTGATAAATATAGTCCAAATTAGAGATATATAATCGCATTGTTAATTTGCGTGGAAGTGAGGCTGAGGGGCCAAAGCAAACGCGTATTGGCATACGCTTTGGCCCCTCAGCCTCACTTCCATGCAGTTGTGACGTAATTACCGGAAAGGTAATAGTTTAATACAAAACAAAAGCTTTTGTTGGGTTTTCCCCGGCCGACATTTTTGCAAGTGTTTTTGTTGGGTTTTGTTGGGTTACCGTGATTCAAAGGTGATCTACAGTCCGTATGTAAACAAAGCCTTTGTTTACATTTTTGTGTCCAAAATATTGAGCTTTATTCGACAACTATTTATATTTTCAAGCTTCTAGAGTATAATAAATGATCAAGAAACAACAATCAGGCTTTTCAAGAACTCAAAACATAGCTAAACTGTTTGTATCATAAAAAGTGGGCTCATTTGTGCACATGCGCAGATCGGACTGTAGATCACCTTTAAAATCTTGTAAGATAAACAACGAAATCTAATTTAGTACTATGACATTATCGATTTGTTTTGAGAGAAGGGCAATGATAAAATGTTATTTGGCAGAATTACAGCGCATTTTTAGCAGTGACACGAACTCAGACGTCCGACCTGAGCAACATTCTAATGTAAACAAAAGGCCATAAATAGTATCAAATTTCAAACGCTCTCAATTGTTCAAATCGCGTTTGCAGACGTGTTTTATTACGGTTTTTAGTACTTAAAAGTGTCCTTTTTCCAACTATACTAGTCACTGTATGTAATTAGGTCCCACTTTTAAGAAACTCAGCTTAGAAAATAGTAGGATTTGAAAGCCGTATTTTGACATGGCGCACTTTGTCACTAAATATTGTCACAAATGCTCTGTAATTGAAAACCTAAGTTAGTTTAGACGAAATTACAATAGTTTTCCGCTGCTGGGTGTGAATATCGGAAATTTTGAACAAAAACTTTTAAAATTATGTTTATTTAAATTCAGCCAATTTTTCGTTTAATTAGCCGGCGAATTTCTCCCGCGACGGTGCGAGACCAAAAAATCGCTAAAACTTCGAAACTAAATATATTTTGAAAATTCCAAACAGCATTTTTTTGTTGTTAAAGTAAATGTAGTTCACGGTAAAAGTCACGAAGAAATTTATTTTTCGAGCCCCAAGTCAGTGGGCGGTTTTTAGAGAGACGCTCTTAACAATTCAGCCTTGTTACTCTTCCATCCAAGCCATTTCCATTCCACTAATAATAAATTTAACCCTTTATAACAGGAGGAAACTAAAAAATCTAAACAAAATACAAGAAATACGCCATTTTATCACCATGTAAAATGTTGTTTACGAGTCCTTCAAAACATTTCGTACAAATCTCGCGTGGTTTAACAACAGGGACGTGACAGGGGGGGTAGAGACTTGGAAAATGAAAGGAAAGCCCACACAGTATGGTAAAACCAACAATCAACATTTAATTTGTATGACTTTTTAATATTAATAAATAATAATATGTATATATTTGTCGTTACAAAAAATAAAACAAACATTTGTATGATTGTATTTAGCTTTTAGTCGATTTCACGCTCCTTCTATCTTCGTGAAATAAGTCACCCCCTCCTGTCACGTCCCTGTTACTTTGTCACGCGATATTTGTACGAATGTTTTGAAAGACTCGTGAGCAAAATTTTACATGGTGATAAAATGGCGTATTTCTTATATTTTGTTTAGATTTTTTAGTTTCCTCCTGTTATAAAGGGTTCAATTTATTATTAGTGGAATGGAAATGGCTTGGATGGAAGAGTAACAAGGCTGAATTGTTAACAAGCGACATGGGATGACAAAATGGCGCTGAATTTGGACAAAGTTGTGGATTTACCTTGTCGATGGTTAAACAGGTATGATCTACTTGAAACCAAGTTGAAACTTGTTTAAAATGTTCTTGATACCATCATGTCTGAGATGATTTACATTTTTTGTAGGATGTCGACGAGATCGCCGATAAACAGCGGAGTAAAGTGGAGAACTTGGCCAAATACGTTCATTTGCAGGAGGTAGGCACATTTCAAATTATTATTTCGGTCAGAAAATATTAACTATTTTACACCAAACCAGTGATAATATATTTAAATAAGTACCAATTATGTTTCTATCAAGAAGATTTAGGGAAAAAGGTAATGTAAGTCCACTGCTGTTTATCTGAAGTTGCAAGCCACAAATTGACGTTTAACTATGATTATTGCATGGTCATTTTCTTGTGAAATATTAGTGCTAGGCATTTCACACTTACCAATGACCATCCCTAAAAGTACCATCTCTGAACCATATAAGCACCTCAGAATAGCCAAAGCTTTTATGGTTTGGTAGATAGCAGTATGGCGAAAGCGTCGTTTTTGGGTGTGGTCAGTTTCGGACGTTTCGCCCCGGATTGGGGTTTGGGCAGCGTTAATACCATGTTGACCGTCATGGTCAACTTACCCTAAAACAGTTGAGATTATCTGTCCTAAATGAAATGCATACAAACTCATATACAGGTCCTAGACTATGTGATTGAAATTATTACGGTACTGTTAAAAAAATTTGAAATGTTTGTTGATATTCGTTGTCCAATCAGAGTTGAGTGTATTTTGAGTTGTTCAACGACTTCCGCTTTTTGCAACAGCAAACCCGGCACGCGGATATATTTTGGCCGAATTTTGTTATTCCCTCACGGATTTCAGAGCGAATTTAAGCTCTTTGATTAAAGTATCGTTGTTTTGAGAGTTATATAGCCTGCGTGCAGGCCCAAGGGAACTTGATAGTGGGCCTGCAACCATCACCCCATGTGATCACTTTTTACTCGCTGGGGCACCCTGTGCCCCGGGCGAGTATAGGTTTCGGCCAGAGGAGGAGTGAGGACTATACCGGCATGCAACGCGGTCAGGCGCGGTTTTTTACATATTATCGATTTCTCGCTCTGCGCCGTCAGTGTTCGGTCGGCTTTCGCTGTGTTTACACCTCGAGGTTTCAAAAGATTCGGAAAAGATTTATCGAAAGAAAATTGTAAAATGGTGGATTTTTGCACTATGCATGGAAAGAAAGCTTCGTTTTTGGGTGGACACGAGCTTCTGTGTGTTCACTGTGTGTCAAAACAGCCTTTAATCTTGATTCCGGAAGAATTACCGTGTGATGAACTTGAATGTCGTGAGGACGTGAGGTTCATGTTTATAGTTTTTTATAATACAGATAGTTCGAAGAATAGTCCTTTGTCCAGCTGTGGTTAACGGGATAAAAATTGATGGAATGTTCGCTGATTGCGGTAGTCCTCCACTGGTACAAATTTACTCTAGTTGTGTTTTTAAGGTGAGATTTTTATATAAAAATAGAAATATAAAAATGCTCCTATGTTGTTGTATAAAATACAGCAGTATTAAACGTATTTTTATTTCATATCATGTAGTTCTTCGACCCTAATGATCTACGGGAAGGAGGTATAAACAAAGAATATAGCAATGTTATGTTGTGGGAGTTTGACATTTCAACATCACCAACATCCCAAGCAATCCCACCATGTGACCCAGATAGTCAAGATGATGAGCTGGATAGTGTACTTCCACCAATAGAATTACATCAGCCAACTGATTGTATAACTGTTTTAATTTACCAATAAACCCTGTTTGCCCTGACAGACATTCATACACACCGAATGATGGAAGAAGCGCCCAGTGGTAGCATTGTTGTAAAGAATGAAATGGAGGAAATTCAACACTATCGCAACACTATATATAAATGTATTGACTACTGTGTGATGCATTGCAAGGATTTATACTGATCAACCAGTTATCTATGCTCAAATGATCAACCAGTTGTCTATTATTTTACTCTGCCTAACGCCAGATTATTTTACTGTCTAATACTAGACTATTTACTCATCAGGGGGAGAGTGCTGACACTCAATGGGTTAAAAACATTGAAAGAAAATGTTTAGCAGAAGCTGAAAAATTGTTTATTGGTGTCTGGTGTAATACTGATATTTCTTTTATTTGTAAGGATAGAGCTGGGGAGCTTCTAATGGTACAGTCTTGGCCCTACCCCAGTGACTAGTCCTATTGCATGTGTTTTTGTCACTTCCCTGATTATACCATAAGTATTGTATCCCATGGACACCATCTTATCAGTTCTGCAGTTTTTTGACAATCTACCGTAAACCTCCACCTAAAAGCACTGGGCTTATATTCTTTCGTAAGCAATTTTTGATGGGCTTACACAAGGGGGGGGGGCTTATACATGGGGAGGGGGGCTTATATTCAGAGGTTTATGGTATGTATGGTTTTCATGATTTTCAGAGTATAGTCTTCCCTTGCTCATCACAAATTAATAAAAAGATCACACACTACATAATTGATGTTGATAAAATTTATTTATTTTAAAATCAAAAAAATATTAACATAATATTGCTGTACTTAAAGATAATTAAAATGTTTTTAAAAATAAAATTTTATCCACACAATTTTAAAATATTGCACACATTCATTTCACCAGTACACATGGATGCTATATGATAAAGTATATGAAAGGTGATGCTTTTGCTCTAGCTTAATGATGTATCAAAACAATCTAGAGGTATTACATAATTGGTAAACCTCTTCAATCGTAATGATTTGCATGATTTTCTGCAACAGATATGAATTCAATGAATGCTTTATCTTCCTCAAATGTCCATTTATGAAGTTTAACTGGGAATTTCTTTGGAGGAGTCGTTTAATCTTTCTGATAAGAAACTACAAAACAAACAGCAAAAGTGAGAGGGGCAATGTTAGTGCCAGCACAATTAGACAACAACAAAGAAACTCATGGATTTTAACCAGGATTGTGTGCATGCTTCTCCAGGAAATTCGTGTACTATAGGTTTTCTGGAATGCTCAGCATTGAAAAATAATGTTGGGGTACGGGTGGATAGAAATTGCCCAACATTGTCATGAGTTTGTGAACAAGAGGTATAAAATAGAAGAAATACATCTCCTATACAGACTAGCAGAAATACTGTTTAAAGTCAATCTTAAAACAATTGCCCAATTATTAAAGCAGAATTCTGCCCAACTAAACACTGACTGGAGGGGTTGCAACCCCCCCCCCCCAGTCTCATATGCCTATGGACAGAAATTCTCCCAGGC